ATATCTTATAGCTATCTGCCTGCAAAAAGTGGAAAAATGCATTTAAACCCCAGGTGTGCGTTTTGTCTTTGATCATTTGCCTATAATTTACACTTCCTGATTAAATGTCCGACACATTTGGTTATGGAAACAAAAACAAATGGTCCAGCAGAATGCAAATTATCAAGTGTGGAACACAGTTTGTAATATGTGCACAAACACACACTCAGTCGCCAGTTTATTAGGTACACCGAGCTCAAACAGATGCAGTGTAATGCAGCAGTCCCGCAGTAAATCCCGACCTTATAGTTTCATTTTTGTTGAAACTAATTGGTCTTGGTGCTGATCCAACCTTACGGTCATCCTGTCAGCATTATACTGGAGGTGTTTGTAATATTTCAGTATTAACAGGTACATTAATCCTTTCATTTCTCCTCCGGGGGGCTCAATAAAGGAACATCTTATCATATCCATTTGAGCGTCTAGGGAAAACACACACACACCAGCTCCTCTTTGTCCTTTCTTAAAGGCTTATCTTTATATAAATACCTCCCTTTTCCTCTTTCGGTCATGGGGAACTGGAATCCACCTGGAAGGCTAGAGAAACGCAACTTCCCCCTCTCCCTTAATAGTTACCTAACTTTCCTGTCTAAGTGACTTTTCAGTGAAACGCCTTTTCCTTATGCTTTCTTAACGCCAGTAGGATGTGACTGCGTGGTGTAGAGACAGATTTATGGGAGTCTATTTTTGCTTCAGTCTTTGTAGGATGATCTCAAACATCAGTATTGATTATGCGGAATCATTTTAATTTAGTTTACACAGATGGCCAGGATTGTGGATTTTTCAACCCCGTTAACAAACAGAGAAGTATCCACTCTGATAAAGGTGCTGAGAATAAAATGCTTTCGATTATTATTATTATAAGACATAAAAAAACAGCTTATTCATTGATTGAGTTCAGAAACCAGTAAGTAAGAGTAACTCCACCAGTTTGGCTGCTCACACACTCACCTGTTTTATTAGTTTACAGTTCAGTATTATGGCTCCCCATTGTTGTACAGAGAGAAACTTGTAGCCAAACCTGTTTAGTAAATTCCCCCAAAAGCAAACTACCTGTGTGCACTTCTAAAAATAGCACTCTGATGTCCAAACAACAGGTGGCCGATGGGACAGTAGAGCAAACACAGAGCTTAATGCTGACTGCAGATGTGGGCACCGTCATAGAGGCATTACAATTAACCCACATAGTAAATATATAATATAAATTCTTACCAGTCTACCGGATCTTTCCCTGGCTTTCTTGACTTTGCCATATGTTCCTTTCCCGAGGGTCTCCAGAAACTCGTACCTGTGCCTCAGGTTGTGCTTGTGGTGGTGTCTCTTCACGGCTTGTTTTTTCACGGCCACCTGAGACGGAGCTTTCCCGACACTTTCATCGGGTGAAACTCGGCCCACGGACGGCCTGCGGTTGGACGAAAGCCGGGTTGAATTTAAGCCGTCCATCCTGACACAGCTGTTATCTGTTTTTGGGGTATTTTCGGACGCAGGTGTCAATGTTCACGTGCATTCCTTCGCGCGGAGCCCTGTCGTCGTTTGGAGCAAGTTGCTTCAACAAAAGTTGCTCAGGTAATAATAATAATGATGTAAAAGGTGACTGCTCCACCTGAGGCTGTCCGGTAGGTTGCTACGACTTCTACTAACGTGTAGAGGACAGAGGGGAGAGCGTCTGTCTCCTCCGTGGAGCTCAGCCCGACTAGCAGCAGCAGGTACACACACAGTGCAGAGACCCGAGCGGACCAGGGCCAGCAGCCGGACACGTCACACAGCCGAGGGGCGGTTCAGGTGCGCAGAGGAGCGTTTGATTCTGTACACCGGGTGGTGCCAGTACCGGTAACTTCATAGGTTGAGGGCGGGTTGTTTGTCACATTGTTTAAATCTCTTTGTGTTATTTTTTCCTTTTTATTGTTGATATGTGTTTTTTTATTTTTTTATTGTATGTTTTCAAGCCTCCAATTCTGCCTGTATTTTAGTTCAATGTTGTGTTGTAGGCTACTTGTACTTGTAGTGTTCTTGTTATACACTATACTGTGTGATAGCAGACTGCTTTATTAGTAGCTGTATTGTATGGCTGCATGATATGGTAAAAACATCATAAAGTGATTATTTTTGACAGATATTGCGATATGAGTAATGATTAGTGTTTTGATGAGGTGAAGTTTTTTGGGACTATGTACCAAACAATCTGGAGAATAAGATTTGTAGACCAGTGTATCTCATCAGATCTACAGTTCATCATTAAAATGCTGTTTTTTGTTACACATTTTATTTTATCATAAGCGTATGCGATTTTGATAATGCACTTGGCCGTATTACGATTTTAAAACACAACATCCAGATCACCGCATATGTGTCACTGCTGTGTCAATCGGTGTGCACGGAAATACACAACGAGCGCACCACAAAATACACTCAAGTGTGGGACTAATGTACCTTAATAACTGCCTTTCAATTTAATAAGTACCAGTGTTGGAACATAATCTACTACACTGATGTACTGTACTTTAGTATTTCATGATACATTATACTTTAACTTCACCACAGTTCAGAGAGAAATTATATAGCCAACTTCATACAAACTTCACTACATTGATTTGACAGCTTTAGTTACTTTACAGGTTAAGATTTTACATACAAAACATATTATGAGCTTCTACAATATTATTAATATTTAAAATGAATAAATAGATAAATAAACAAACTACCCAGCAGTATTACTATATGAAATTTTGCTTCACCTTGACCAACAACAGTAAAATCCTACTTACACATGCATGCACCAGTAATATTAATCCAATCCAAAAATATATAATAGTATAACATCACAAGGGCCTTTTATGTGCATTATGAGCACTTCTACTTTTGATCATTTAAGTACATTTAGCTATACTTTTACTAAGCAAAATATTTTCGTAAATACTGTGGCCTTTCTCCGTTTCCAACATAAACTATATCTACTTGTGGATTATTAAGAGTACCTGGAATAACACTGTTATAGTTTCATGCTATAACCCTTTCTCCTCTTTTATTTCCGCCGGCACAGAGAGATGGAGCATTTGAAATCCTAGCTGACTTCATGGAGCTTGTATCTTTGTTGGTTATTGAAGTATCTGCTCCTACATAAGCAGTCTGTAGTGAACTGAAAGACACCTTATAGAAAAAAAATAAAATGTTGGATTAGTAGTGTCATTACAGTTGTGGGCCACTAGAGATCAGCATGCAGTCACCAGACACAGTACATGGGCTGACAGATGTGACCCAGTTGGTTTTATAATGAAACAGACAGTGGCTCTGTCCCAGGTTTCCCCACTATACACTAAACAACATAATGTATGTTCAGTGTTTAATATCCTATGTAATGATGTATAATGTGGTGTTAGTTCAGACACAGCTGTGTTCATCAGTGGGGACAGGATGAACACTCAGATTTAATACTTTGAGCCAATTGGCTACTCCTTCAGAGAGTCTGTCTTAATTGACCTCCTAACCCATCAGGGACAGCCGCTGTGGTTGCCAATCAGGTTTCTGAGTAACGTGCCAGAGCATTTTCATTCATGCGTGCAGGAACACTGTGCACAAAATAGACAATGAAAGGAACCACAACTCACAATTAGTCCACAAAATGTTGTGAAATGGGAACCGAATGAAATGCCCACTTCATCTAGAAAGGATAAGACTTAGAAAAACCTAGACAAGGAAAATGAATTATGAGAAATGAAGTTTAAGGGAAACAACCTCAATAAATACCGACCTGTCTGATCTGTCAGACTGTACACGGCACACATTTCCACATATTATCTGATCTGATCAAGAGTTGTCACTGTATGACAAATATTTTACATTTGTGAAATAAAAGCATATTCACTTTTAGTAGACTATCATAAAGGATCACAACTAATTTAAGGTGTTGTTTTTGTAATTCAGTGTGTCTGCCAGAAGAGGGAGCTTATGGAGTCCTACCACCCTGCCCAAAACAATAGTCCCAATGCAATTTATCAGTCTAATTCTGTAACAAATGTTTGTCAGGTAGATTGAATCCTGGAAAAACGAAGTGGTGCAGAACTGTGTGTATATGTGAGATATGCTGGAACATAAAGTGGATATAACATCCACTGCACATGGTCGGTCTTCTTTGGGCCACAATTAGCCACAGAAATGTATAAGATCATGATGGTGTATAAAACTGACAAGAATAATGTCTCTTGTTCTTTTTCCACATTTTGTAAACTGGAATGAATAATAATATGAGCTAACAAATTATTCATTTGAGGGAACTAATAAATTAAATCAAGGGTACAAATTATACTTGGTATTCTTAGATTTACTGGAATCATTATAGAAACCTTTACTGCCAGGAACAAAAATTAATTTAAAAGTTAGGAATCAATAAAAATAGGTATATCCTGACTTATCCAGACCCCTCCAGCCTGGTAAATGCCGGAAGTCTTTCAAACTTCAATCCCAGGTTTGTAAAACAGGCTTTCTGCCATGTATTTGAAGTCTCAAGCCAAACTCGAGATAACCCTGATCACATTCATCAGGGGTATGTTCTTATACTTTAAAAAACTCCCTTCACATCCACAGAGGACATTATACTACTGTCTTCACAGGCTGCAAAAACTTTTACTTTTGACTTTTTTAAAATGTATGTTGTCTCCTAAATTCTACATAGTAGTTTTTTTTCACAGTAGTTTTGACCCTGCTTTGAGTGTTTGAATTTTTGTCATCCTAACATCTCATCTATTTTCTGTTTTTTTTTCTGGCACTTGAGACTGTGACATCGCATTTATTGAAACACATTACCTACAAACTAATCCCCCCCACTCACACACTCTAAAGTAGCCTCTGATACACACACACACACACACACACACACACACACACACACACACACACACACACACACACACACACACACACACCAATATTCCTACACTTCCCAGACTGCACCGCGCCATCCCGAACCGCCCTTTCCTCTGTCCCTAACTTTGGCCGTGTCGACTTTCTGTTTTGCAGTGATTTGATTGCTCGATCCCAGCTATGTAACTTGGCTCGGACACACCTCGCCCTGCACCAGCACGGACCCTCCTCTTCATCTTCATCACGGGAGAGAAGAAACGAGCGAGCTCCTCCAGTCAGCCGTGCTGTCGTTCGCTCTCCAGGGTGGAAGATGTCCGCTGGTTTCTCCGGGCCGGAGCCAGTTTAGGAAGATCTTTTCCCCCCGCGGAGTCTCATCGGGAAAACGTTTCATCGCTGTCGTTTAACTAAAGAGGCAACTGTCAGAAGTTGTGGGACCCCCCTCTCTGTCTAAAACCCGGAGCTGTATGGCTGTGAAACGGCGCCCTGGACTTTCTACCTCCAGTTAAAGGCCGACGTTATGTCTTCAGTGCCAGGCCAAGGCGAGGACGGGCAGGAGATGCCTTCAGGCTAACAGCGCTAACCTGATCTGGGGTCGCCGAGACGAGCTGGCGCAACTGTTTCAACGGCGTCAACACATTAAAGTGTTTCTTTTTAAGACACTCCTCAGTGGTTGCAGACAGCCAGTCGGTCGGTTGTGAAGTAGAAAAAAAAAGGTGACACAAGATGCCGAAATAGCGGTTTCACTTTGTTAGCTAATTGTTTAAAATCTCGCATCGAGACAGTTAACAGTTAAGCTAGCTGTGCTGGTCAGCTGCAGTATCATAACAACACAAAGGCAAAGCCCCACTGTCGGGGCTGTTGTCTGTCTAATACACTAATGTTGATGATCTGCCGAGGCCTGGCAGGTGGACAAACATGACTACTAACTATTAACGAGGAAGGTGTGGTAACAGGACTGATTCTGACTTTGGCACCTGCTTTAAACCTTGTAAATCACAACAAGTAGGAAAGAGCAGCAGCAGCAGCTCGACCTGGTGACCATGGAGGGAAACGTGCAACAGCAGAAAGCGACTCCTTTAGCTCGGGAACTGACAAGGACATTTAACAGCTACAACAAACACACCATACAGCTAAAGAAGAACCTGAAGGAGACTAACGCTTTCTTCCGGGAAATAAGGCAGAATTACAGCAATGCTTGTGCATCAACTATGAGCTCGGATTCAGCTTCTCTGGAGGCAGGTAGGTGTGAACAGCGTGCAGCAGCCACATCCCTGCTGTGCACCTCAATGTGTGTGTGTTTAAAAGCATCCTAGATTGTTGCATTAACATATCCATGGCTGTGTTTTACTTCTGTATCTCGACCTGCAGCGAAACAAAAAAAAAAAAAAAAAAAAAGAACTAACAAGTTGCTGCTGCCAAGTGATTTCTCCATCCAGACGTAGACTGAAAGAAATGCATTAATTAGGGTTGGTGAAAACTAAAGAGATTAAGCCCCCTCTCAAAAGCATGAGCAGACTAAGTGCTCCAAATATGCTGAGATTTCTGCCCTCACTACCCGGCTGAAGGGATGTCAGACACTCATTCTTCTATTTTCAATTAATTGAGCCCTGTGTGTGTGGACAAATTTTAATATCATAACATTATATATATATATATATATATATATATATATATATGTATATTATATTGTCTACTATATATAGTTGTACCACATTTCTCCATTACAACTGTTTTATAAAATGTGTTTCACTGCTTTATATATTCTAACATTTCATGAGTTTTGTAAGATTTTTTTGCCCACATGATTCGTGATACTTATTTCTATGAAACATTGATTAAAATGCACAACAGTTGATGGTATGCAGATAAAAATGTAATGCGTCACATCTGCAGGAGTGGCTTATACACGGAGAGGGTTAAAATAATTTCCCTCGGTGTTGAATGAACAATGTTAATCTTAAGATTAGTCATAATCAACAGAAAAAAGGAGACCATAATGTTGCCTTTCATGGGCAGAGCTAAACCCATGTCTTCACCTGCTAACTAGATTCATCTTGCAATGTCTTGGTTACACTTACTTATCTGGACAAAAATGTGTATCACATAGTACAGAAGGATGATACAATAGATTTTGATCTGTTGAGGTTACGCATAATCTGTCAAACACTGAAACAATAGGCTTTACTGCGTCATGTCAGGCCACGAGGGTTGAATGCTAGATTAGAGTTACAGTTACAGTAAAATCACATGTATCTTAGAAAGAAATGCACTGGAATATGAATGTGAGATGAGATAAGATAAGATAAGATAAGATGAGATAAGATAAGATAAGATAAGATAAGGTGAGATGAGATGAGATAAGATAAGATGTTCCTTTATTGATCACCCACAGCAGCATAGGGCAATGTAGTGCAAAAGAGAGTACAGAAGAGGAGGAACAGCAAGATATCACAAAATAAAAACTATAAAAGGGTATATACACTATGCAATATTAAAGTAGGCCATTGCTACTCTCTCCTCTCTTTGGTTATATAACTGTTTTACACTGTGACTCAGCACCACTGAGGATTATGTCTTAGACCCTCAATAATAAGGTTGAATCGGTTCTTCTGTGTGTGCTGATCTTAAGTCTAGATCAGGAAATAACAGCCCGTGGAATGATATCAGATTTTTAATATCTCTATATCTCTATCATGGAACAATAATCTACTGTATATTCTGGAAGTGATGCTCAGCTACAAAGGATAATGTGTCATTGAATGCCCAAATTCTGCCTACAGTGCTGACCAAGAGTTCCTAAAAAGGTCCCAAATTCCAGGAGTGAACAGTGTTTCTCAGGGTTACTGATAAAGTTTTGAAAAACCAAGTTCTGTACTCAGTCCACCTTTGAACATCACAGAAACATCTTCTGTTTCCTCAGGCCAGTTTAGCTTCATCTCTTTTCCCAGCCATGAGGAAGAGTTCCTACGAAACACCGTGGGCGCTGCCCCATACATCCTGGTGCTAGGTCAGGACTGTGCTGCCCGCTACCAGCTGCTCAACTGCCTTCTGGGGGAGAGGCTGCTGCCACTGGGCCCTGAGGCCGGAGAGGCTTGCGGAGGAATCGAGGGAGTCTGCAAGAGGCGGAAGCTGTGTTTCACCCATGGGAGGCAGACGCGGCTCAGCTTGGCGCTGCCTGGCCAGTATGAACTGGTGCATCAGCTGGCGGCCAACTGTGGCCGCTGGGATACGGTTCCCATGGAGGACCTGGAGATTCACGAGGAATGTGAGGATCCGGCCCACAGGCTAGCTGAGCTGGAGATCACTCTCCATCACCCACTGCTACAGGTAGGCCATGGATACAGTGTGATACCTACTAGATCTACTCTCTCAATGCTGGGTCTCATAGCTGGAATGAACAAACTTTCATTCAGAGTTGAGGTACATACAGTAACCATGTATAATGTTGCTCACTTCCTGATTTTTGGAAGAAGATGTAGAGTGAAGGTGAGCTGAGGCAGAAGTACATGCTTTGATTTAAAAACTAAAATTGTGGTCTCTAAAACACTCTGGAAAAGCTTTTAGCAGAACTGATGAAATTAGGCTAATGACATTATCAGCACATTACTAGTTTGTTTTCCAGTTCTAATATGGTACACCCATGCTATCAATAATTAGATTAATTTACTATTAAAAAAACATGTATTCAATGAATTAACTTGTTTGCATATGCCCACACGTCCTTGTATTAGGCTATCTCTGACACATTTGCCTAATCCTCCATTTTCTTTATGTATGTTTGTGAATATCGCTTTGGATGGATGGATGGATGGATGGATGGATAGATTCTTTATTGTCCTTTCAAGAATTATTTGTTGGCTCAGTCTGTACATAACCTCACATAAATATATATACACACAACAAACCACAAGCGAGGCATCAAATACAGCACCTATATACACACATTCTATATGCATAATTTCTACACATGACAAATACCACAGTGTTTTGTTAAGCAATGAAAACAAAAAACTCCCTGGATCTGTATGTGCAGATGGCAGCAATGTGAAGACTAAGAATAATAATTACAGCCATCCTTTCTAATAGTTATATTGTGATTATATAGTGAAGTAAAATTGTTTTAATACCACTTTTTTTTTAAATGAGGTTTGGATTCTTTTAAGGCACACTAATTAAGTAAATTAATGTTATTATTAGTTTTATGTGAAAAACAACATCTTTTCTAATCTTTACATATGTGAATTATGTTGTTGTATATTGGCACAAATAAACAGCCCTTTAATTATGTCATTCATTTCAGTCACATGGCCTAACCCTAACTGCTGGTGTGCTGGTATTTCTTCCTGTAGCCTTTGTCTTCACACATAGCTTAGCTTACAAACAGATTACTGAGCAGAGCTGATTATTTCCTGTGCTGTTGAGTGTTTTACTTTACCTGATTTGTGTTAATGTTCAGAAATACATTCTTTTCCAGTTGCTTTTATCCCGTTGAGGTTTTTAAAAACAGATTCACAGGTCAGTGTTGAATTTGCGTGGAGAAGGGAAGAATTGTTGGGACACAGTGCTGTGTTCATGCTGGTCTTCTTTCAGTGCAACTTGAAAATCACAATATCTTGTGGGGGTGAATTGATTTAGCATGGTGTAAGAATTGTAGTCATTCCTTTTTATGTGTGACACAAGGAAAGTAGTCTCTAATCCTTTACACCAAGGCCCCTCAGTGAGCATCACACAGCCCCAGAAACTAGGCTCTGCCTCAGAGCAGCCCACCCGCCCAACCCCCTTACGTAATGCCACTGGTCTGGTGCGATTCACATGACTAGGTCATGTTAAAAAATCCCAAACCCTTTTGCTGTGATGAAGTTGTCATGGTTATAACTGAAAGCTGGGACACTGGTTGTTTATGTTGTTAAAAAAAACCCTTTTTGTTTTTTTGAATAACCAAAGTCAGGATTTTGTTGTAGCTGTGTGGAGAAGACCTATTGACAACTTTTGTTCATTCAATTTGTACTAATGTTGACACACATTATAGTGTGAATAATTGAATTACAGTTCACGTTTAAAAGTTATATATTAATGTATTACTGACACTGCTTGGTAAAGCCCTTGGTATAGAAGCTCTTTTCATTGTCTGTCATCGTGTTGTACACAAACAGCATGTTGGTAAAGTTGAGTGTCTTATCTCAAGTACAATAGATGAACGCCTAGAAGGCACATTTCTGTTGACTGAACTGCGTGGGATCTGCAATCCCGTATTTGGGCCAAAAAGTTTGTCACGCTTGCTTGTGAGGACCTCAGAGGCTTTAGTAGTTGAGTTATTGTTTGTAATAATAATACAAACTTTGTCATAGATGAGAGGCAGAACAATTTAATGTGTATGAGGATTACTTTCATTTTTTGTTTGCTGTTTTCTCCCATGCTCAAAGAACATCAAATGCTACTTTGCTAATCTACAAATTTCCATCAACCAGGATTTTAAACACAGGTTTGTCTCAAACTAAAGCAGCACTCAGTTTGTGCTGAATGAATAAGAGATTAACATGTTTATGTTGGAGTAAACGAAGGCACAGAATCTCTCTGCTTACTGTGGTATTCACACACTCTTGCCATAATCGCAGTAACCTGTTTGAGGCCAGCAGATGAGAACCAACTTGCTAATTAGCCTTCTCTTCATTTATTTTTTTTTTTTACTTGTGCTTTCCACCTAAACTTAAGCACCCACACAACATAAAGGGTGCTATCCTGTCGCCATGTTTTTAAAATTCTTTTAAGGTACATATAGTGTTACGTTTATTGCTACTGCTCCATGAATTCACATAAGAAAGTCTGCTTGTTAGCAGAGGCCTGTGATATTAGCAGTCACTCTTAAAATATATTAATGGAAGAAAATTCTTATTTCTTACATTTGTCTTGACTGTGTTTATTTATAAAACTGAGTCAGACAGTAGCATTAATACTGTTACTCATACTGACACTCTTTGAAACATAGTAACTTTAAAATAGGCCAGTTACTTGAGGGTTGTTGTTGTAAACTAACTGTATCGAGGCAATTTTGTAGGCAACATTGTATTGATTTTGATTGGTTGTGAACAAATGTTTGCAGGCTATCTTTGTTCCAAAGAGACTGCTCAGATGGGCTCAGCTCTTGTTTCTTGGAGACAGGACTGACTGTCTCCTTTGTGTAGCTGTTGGTCATTTTTGCCTCTTTTCTCTGGCTGTCTTTTCCCTCGTTATGGTCTCCCTCTGAAGCTGTCTCTGAGAATATTTTGTTAATGTTGTTATTTAGCAAGGGTTAAGAAAACCTTTTTACTTGTGTCATTTTTCTACCATGGCACAGACATTCCCAAGACCGCCATAAATATTTACTTTCCACTATGTGTTCAGAAATAGAAGCAGCATGTGATGGATGTGTTTTTTTCTTCTTCATTTTGCAGTGGAATCCCTTTGAACATCTTGTGGCATAAATTGGTTTGAAAACCGTGTTTCAATTCCTTTGGGCACTTCATACAACAGGGGTTATAGTTTTGCTTTTAATTTGCTTGTTGTTCTGCATTTTATGTTTGGAAGTTAAAACATTGGTTGATCTAAATGACACAAAACATATTAGAAGCATTAGCAGGCACGGAGCAACGTTAACATTCAGTTGGAGTGATGATACTGCCCACTTGCTAAATTAAAGTCCAATATTCACTCATCTTTTAGCTCTGTTTTTGGTCTTCACCAATTCCTGAGGGAAATATCTGCTCTTTAGCAACTAATCCTCCCACTATATTCACCAGCTAGCCGCTAACTCTTCCTCTCTGTTATTTGGTGTTGACCCGGTAGCGTAGAGTTGTTTTTATTTTTAGAACTTTTTCACAGCTGATGGGAACGAATCAACAGTAAAGTTATGAGTCTTAAAACCAAAACAATGAGCTAAAAGAGGCCTAAAAACTATGTAGAGTTGAGAGGAACGGCATAGTCAGGTGATTATTATCAGTGGGGTGCAATGAGCAACACTTTTCAAAAATACATTCATGAATTTGTTTAATACATTTTAATTATTTAAAAACAACAATTATAGAAGCTTTATGTTCCTTTTACCTCCATTTTTGGTTCAGTGACAAATCGCAGCAAACATTTTAAAGTAGTGTCTAGTGTTGTCTGCATGGCTGTATTTCTTTATGAAGAAAATGAAAATCTGTTGTTGTTTAATTTGGGTGAAGTGGGCTTTTTACTGAACCAGGTTTCCTAATAATTTTCTTGTGTGTAAACCAATTGGCTTGAACTTAAAGTTTTGTGGTGTCTTTGTTGTTCGTCACCAGGAAGCAAAGGTCATGGTGGTGCCGTGTCCTAGTGTCCAGCCCATAGAAGAAGCCCTGGAAGACTGCACTCGCAACGTGATCCCCATCATACTGTATGCCATCAACCAGGACTCCCTAAGCACAGAGCAGGTGGCGGATCTCTGGAAGGTCAAAGAAATGCTCTCCTTTCCCATCTGTTTTGTTCGTATCCCTGACACCATGCCAGCAGCCTCCCCAGAACCCAGCCGTCGTGCAGAGAAGGAAAAGGAGAGGGAGAAGAGTGCCCTCCATAAGCAGCTTCTCTCTCTCGGCTTCCTCGGTAACCCGACAGGAAACTGCTCCTGTGGTGCCCCTACACAGATGCCCACCCCGGGTGCCAAGCCCCAGAGCATGCTCGGCGAGACTTTCGAACGACTGCATCGGTTGCTGGTGCCGTTTGCTCGCCAAGTGCTTCAAAACCAGCAGGTGGAGGCTGCCAACCTGCTTAATGGGCTGCATTGTCGCTGTCTAGATCTTTTCATCAACCAGGTGAGAGGACGATGCCTCCTAGCACTGTTCGTGTGTATGTCTCATTGTTACCCCGAGGGAAATTCAAGCATGTGACAGTTGTTACTACCACTGTGAGAAATGCTTAGTGTTAGACTGCGCAGTATGCCCCTGAAAAATCCCCAACAGACCTTTGTCCTGTCTACTTCACTTCCCTGCAGGCCTTTGACATGCAGAGGGACCTGCAAATAACACCACGCAGGCTGGAGTACACTCGTGAGAAAGAGGGTGAACTCTTCATCTCCCTCATGGCCATCGCTAACCGCAAACAGGAGGAGATGAAGGAGATGATTGTGGAGACACTCAGCTGCATGAAGGAGCAGCTGCTGGAGGATGCTGCCAATCTGGAGTTCACAGGTTAGTGAATAAACACCCTGGATAAATGCCACAGAGGTTTCTCTCCTGTGGGTTATCAAGATGTTTTTATATTATTAAGGAAGCTATTGTAAAATTTTACCACGTTTCGAGTGGTGGAATGTACAAAGATCACATGATTAAAAACAGTTTGAGTTGGTGCACTAATAATGGAACAAAGAATTTTAACTTGTTTTAATAAAGACTTAAATGAACAGATTCTTGATCATTGCAACCCTTGTTGTCTTAAGAAGAAACCAAATAAAATCCAGATAAATATTAACTTAAAGCTACAAAAGTAAGGAAATAAATGTTTTACAGCGTGCAAACTAATGCAAATTAAATCACAAAATGATTTTTATTTTGTACATTGCCTCAACTGGGTTTTTTATATCTGTGTACTTTAATTTAAGTAGCTTTTTTATTGTTTGTTATGATGTAGTATATACATACTACTAATAAATTACTAATGGATTTACGTGCTGTGATTTTAATGGCCTTGGCGGACTTTTGACTTTGTTTTTTCATGTGCTGTGGTTTGGGATCAGTAAAGATGATTTATACATTTGTGTGATGTTGTCTCTGCTGCTGTCAGACTTCTTGGAACAAGCAAATAATCTTTGCAGTGCTTATTACACACACACTATTAAGCTAAGTTTTTTTTATTTCACATGCTTCAAATTGTGACTTCAAAATAAGGAAACAAGCTCTGATTCTTTTCATTTTAATTTACTTATTTCTTGTTAAAAGGCTAAAGTATTTATGAGCAAGTCATTTGTGTAATTAAATTGGTAAATATTTTTTTATTCCAAGTGATTTAATCGTTTAAATCAAGCCCCTGTTTGATCGTATAATATTGTTGTGGACTATGTTTTTGTGTTTTTTCTGCAAAAAATATGTATTGTATATAAAATTGGAAGCATAGTCCCTCCATAGTCCCCAGTTACATTCTTACACCATATTTTTACCGCAAGCCACGTGCGTCTCCTAGCATAAGAGGACAGTAAAAGGGTTGATTGATAGTCATATCCACATATTTCAGTACAATTGAAACCCTCTTTTCAAAGTAAAAGCACTGCAGTAATATTTTATTTAACATGACTTCACTTGTGAAAGAATTTCCGGAAGTGATCCGGCTGAAGGGAAGTATCTTTCCACTTCCTCTCTCTCTCTCTTTCTACCTTTCTCTCTCTCGCTTTCTCTCTCTTGGGTAAACAAACTACATGTGACTGCTTTCTAGTTATCACTTCACATTAACATTTAAACTTCATATGGCATTGTAAATTAAATGATATTTTGAATTTTCATTGACATTACACAGGGATAATTGTATGAGGAAACAGTGCTGGCAGCAGCAGCAGCAGCAGCTCGCCAAATGAGATTTGCTCTGAGCCACAGTAACTTTGATTTGGTGGTTTTACATAGGATTACTCAGAAATTACCACATGTGTGCCTTTGATTTTATTTTGCTCTTACGTCTTCAACTTACTGAACAATGATTCCCTCTTTATCATTTCTCTATTAAAGAAATGTCTCGTGGTACCCAGACTGCAGGCTATTCAGATTATTTTCATTTTTATCTATTCTCTCACTCTGTCTCTGACGGAGTAGAAACAGACAAGTGACTTTCCTTTACCAGCCAGAGGTTTCTTATGTGCAGCCTCAGTTACTCAAGGATAGTATTTTTATGTTTTTAGGCTTTAGTCAGACCTGCAGTGACGTGTCTGAGCAAGCTGCATTTCACAATCTGCCCACGAAGTGGTTTGATTTAACGTTTGTGAGCGGCAAAAAGACTTTAATTGCGTATTTTACTTCTTTCCGAAGAAGTTGGTCTTCTGGTTTATCTGCGGATTTTCTAAGAAACAGTTTCTGTTTACATTCGGTTTACATTCATATTAACTTGCTGGCAGTCTTCTACTTCCTGTTTTCTGGTGCATTGCTGCATCTCTGCTCGTCAAAAACTACACAGATTACCTCAAGTTATTGATTCCAACCAAAGTGTGCTGTCAGTTGCCAGCTAAAACGAACACATTTTAAAACAACAATGCTGCAATGAATCTTACCTTAATGAAGTTGATAATGTTCAGTTTTTGCTGAAACTCTTTTAGGGATGTTGATTTCATTCAGTAGTTTTTTTTGGACTGCAGTTTGTGGTTCTGCTCAGTTTTATTGCGTTATACAGAGATGTGTTTCTATTATTTTTATACTGATGAGGGTAGACTAAATAACCAAAAGACTTCTCTGTATAATGCAATACAGCGTCCTTAATTAAATAATTGAATAAAAGACCGTAATCTTTTTGGTCTTGTCGCTGTCTGGAGGGAGTTTCTCTCCCATGTGTTTTTTGCTTCAGTGCAGCCTTTTACCTGAGTCATCTGAAGGAACTGTATTTAGTGTTTATTTACGTCATCTCTAGATCTTTTGTGAGGATTAAATAATTACTCTTATTGGCTTTTTGTTCAAGGGACTTTAGTTGCACTTGCAGTGGTGTGGTAAGTGTGGTTTGTTCGATCTCTAATGCTCTCTCCTGCCTGCGGTTAAACTCTACTGTGGGCAGGACTGCCTCTTCTCTTCTAGTGACAGGGAGAAAAGCTCCACATATTTTGCTCATGAACATTTCCCCAGTCTCTTTAACATTAAATTATTGTAATCTATTATTTCCAGACTTGGTATAATACAAACCCTTATGTTGTGAAATCACCTGTTGTTCCCATGCCTCAGTGCATTGTTCAACATCAAGTGACTTTCGTACTAATATCTGACAGCATTAATTCATCAGGATTTCTCTGTGCTAGTTTGGTTACATACACACATTACATACATATTAACTTGATGAATTTTTTTCTGTCAACTGCAGACATCATTGTAACAACTAATGGAGAGCCTGTTACGTCAAAGGAGATCAAGTCCTGCATCCACCAGATCCAGGAGCTGATAGTGGTTCGTTTGAATCAGGCTGTGGCGAATAAGCTGATCAGCTCTGTGGACTATCTGAGGGAGAGCTTTGTAGGAACTCTGGAGCGATGTCTCAACAGTCTGGAGAAGTCTCACATTGATTCTTCCGTCCACAATATCACTTCCAATCACCTCAAACAGGTGGGCAGCAGTTTGTGAAAAAACGGGAACTTTATTTAGTATGCTTGTCAAGAATGTTATTGTTGTGAAGATGCTTCAATGTTAGCAGTATGATCGTATTTATTGATCTTGGTTATAAGCTTTGCATTTTATAATAATAATAATATGAAATTGTTAAATAAAAGTAAATAGGTTGTCAGACAACTCACCAGCCCTGTTCTCTCTCTCTACTATTTATTTAACTATTTTAACCTAAGTGTGTATTAACAGAATCAAACCAAAACAAAGAGTTTAACAGAGACACTTTTTTCACAGCATTTCCTGCATATTTACAATTGTTCTCCTCTGTCACAGTTATTAAATGCTGCCTATCATGTGGAGGTCACTTTTCATTCAGGATCTTCTGTCACAAGACTCTTCTGGGAGCAAATCAAACAGGTCAGTGTATAATATATAATAAATTCAGCCATAAGAGTTTCAACCCACATGGGGACTTCTGAAGGAGTGTTCTTACTCTGTGTCTTGCTCCTAGATAATCCATAGGATAACGTTTGTGAACCCTCCTGGCATCACACCAGAGTGGAAGCGGAAAGTGGCCCAGGACGCCATAGAAAGTCTCAGTGCTGCCAAACTGGCCAGAAGCATCTGCTCTCAGTTCAGGACTCGCCTAAACAGTTCCCATGAGGCCTTTGCAGCATCTCTGCGCCAGGTGAACTTTCTTCCTGCTGCCTTTTTATTGTTTTATTACGCTACTCTCTCTCAATGCCTCGCCTGCAGTGCCCTGTTGAATTCCCACTATCATTTTGAATATAACATACATATATATATATATATATATATATATATATATATATATATTTATATATATAAAGTCTCTCAAAGACTGATAGTCTATGCCTGATGTAACATGACTTCTAAGACTACTAATTCACACATCAGGTGACAGAGCATGGGGATGGATCATTTCCATAAATTAAACATTAACTATTGTCTTTAGCTTAGTCCTTTTGTCATACACATTTCTCTGCCAAAGAGCTGTGAAGGACCTCAGGGGATTCCCTTCTCTGCTTTGTAACTTTGAATTAATCACCTGACCAGAATAAAAGCTTTGTGTGAAATCCCCGGTGATTTACCTGAATGGCTCGAAAACCTTTGAACCTCGAGTATCTTTGGCTGGTATGATTTTTTTATTTTATTATTTTTTTTAATGCACTTTCAAATGACATTGACAAACTGTCTGACAGCTCCATAATGTCTTCAGTGACATCTCTACAGACAGCTTTTATTGGCTCTCAGGCCCTCTCGTGCTATAACAAATTGTTCCTCTTCACATGAATTGTTTCGCCTGTTAGGCCCCAATATGCAAATAGCTGCAGCTGCCTCCATGAAGTCCCTGACTGATCTGTTTCAGTCAAATTGCCCCGATGATGATAATCATCACATGATAGACAGTGTGGGTCACATCACTGACTGCATTTCCATGCTTTTCGAATTCTTCGCCCCTAATGCAGTTACACAAACACACTGATTAATTGTCGGAGTCTTATAGAGGAGGTGATGTTGGGTGATGCTTTGTATGTTCGGGGCTTTTGATGAACAGAAATATCGTAATTTAATTTAGATAGTTCACTGAGTGATTAATGCAGTGTAAACAAGTCAACCAATAAATTAACATTATAGTTATGTCACGTTCCTGTCCATGACTAATAGAGATTGAAGCTGGCCTGCAGTATGTCAGTATGCTGTATGATATAGAGGTGTTATGAATGTGAATACAAAGCGTGCTGTAAAGGCAAAGTAGGGAGGATTATCAGAGGAAAGCTTTCCTTGTCACACAGGAATTTAAAACCAGGGTCCTTTTTCAGCCCTGAAAAGAAAACATGACAAAGACACTCAGCACTTTGTAAGATCCCCCAAGTTGCGACAATGTGATGTAATTGCTTGATAGTGAGTGGTGAGTGAAGTATGGTCAGAGTAGTTACAGACGAGTTTGGGTCAAATTTCCAGGCCCTGTTTTTCCCTTTTTTTTTTTTTTTTTCTTTAGCTCAGTCGGCTACAGCACATGAGGGTTTCTGCTTTCACTCCTGACTGTATAGCAAAGCATGCCACGGCTTGCTGCATGCAAACTGTCTCATTTAATTGTTTTTGCTGCACATTATCTGCTACACAGCATCAGACCCAAACACTTGTTTTGGCCAGTCTGTGACAAAAAAAAATTTGATAGCAGAACTGTGACAATTCAGTTCATAAACGACAAAATCTGAGTGAATAAAAGCAGAATGGAGATCAGATGAGGTCTTCATAGTCATGATTTTCCTTTAAAGGTCCAGTGTGAAACATTTAGGAGGATCTATTGGCAGAAATGGAATATAATATTCTTAGGTATGATTTCATTAGTGTATAATCACCTGAATGTAAGAATCGTTTTTTGTTTTTGTAACCTTAGAATGAGCTGTTATTATCTACAGACACTGCGAGTCGCCTCCTGTAGAGACCGCCATGTTGAACCACCATGTTTCTACAGTAGCCCAGAACACACACTTCACAGCAGGTTCTAATTCCCAGTTCATTAATACAGATGTAAGCAGTGTTCAGCAAGTTGCAGTCTGCAACATCACTACTTGATGCCACTAAATCCTAAACACTGGTCCTTTAACACATCAAAAAAATGTTTTACTTGTTACCTAACATTAGAAATATTGACAAACTCAGCACACTTTACCAAGCAAATAATTAAAATAACAAGTAATAATTCAAAACTTAATTATAACAATAAACTTAATTATTATTACAGCTTTCAGGCATCAATAAGATACTAGTGTGATTGTGATGGAAGGATCATATGACAAGATGCCAGACAACAGAACACAATGTTAACATGCTGATTTTTTAAAAGAAGTATAGCTCAAACCCGTTTGTCACTGACTACAGACACATGGTGACTCAGACTAATGGACTGTCGCTGGCTAGTGAGCAAACTGTACAGTATGTCCATTCCCATGTTGACTTTAAAGTTCCAGCTGAGCCTAAAGCAAACAGGAGTGATGAGAATTCAACAAAAAAAAAATAAAACCCATCGAAGAGTAACGCTCTGCATTAGTCTGACAAATGATAACATTTTCACAGAGGTCAAGGCAGTAGTCACTGAGAACATGAGGACAGTCACCCTTGGCAACAGTTTCCATGGTGACTGCACCTCCTGACGTCCTAATGATGTAGTTTAAGAAAAGAGGACAGAATTAGATGGACCAGGATGGACTAAGAAGATACAATTCAAACAAATTCTCCAAAAAAAGGATGATTGACACAAGGCACATTCAGGGTTGCTTTAACAGTTACATGTCATCTTCCGAAAACGAAACAACTGTTAACAAATAAAACCAGTCATTTAGCAGCTGCTCTTAATGCTAACCATGAGATGTTATGTCATGTGTTGGTGTTTGTAGCTGGAGGAAGGGCACACGGGGCGTCTGGAGCGCACTGAGGACCTGTGGCTGCGTGTGAGGAAGGACCACGCCCCTCGACTGGCCCGCCTGTCTCTGGAAAGCCGCTCCCTCAGGGATGTGCTGCTGCATGGTGAGTCACCACCAAACCCTCCAGCTGTTCACACACAAAGAGAAATTCGCAGTCTGCTTACAGTTCTGCAAAAACTGATGTTTTTTTAATTTGAGAAGTTGTATCTTTTGTATTAAAGATCTCCAAAATACATATTTTTTAAAACCTGAAATACTAGAAAACTAGAAATATTCTGCGTTGAATAATATTGTGTAAAGTTCAATAACCAAGTGAGAAATTCTGAAAAAATACTACTACATCTACTCCTTCCTGCCCACTGTCAAATACAAAATCTGCAGCCACTGTAGTTTCTCCTTCACACTTGGAAGTTAAGGGTGAAGCCAGTGAGTTGCAATCTGAAACTGCACCACTAGATGCAACTAAATCCTACACACCGGACCTTTAACTGTCTCGCGATGTATTGTTACATTCCTATTTTAAAAGTTTAACTACTACATTAGATGCCTCCTACTTCATCGTAAGTTCTTGAACTTAGGTCTCAGGCGAGCTCAGAGAAACTTTCTCTCTTCAGCAGATGAATGTGAAAACAGTCTTCTAGTGTCAAACTTTGCACATACATTACTCTGCATAGTGAAGGTTAAACATCCAAGCAGAGGAACAATAAGTAAAACACATTTTTGAGTGATTGGGCACTTTAAGAAGATATAATTTAGAACCTCCTTTTTAACTCTGCAACATGTGTTCAGACGTTTAAATAATGGCCGCATTGTTTTCTGACAGGCAAACCTAAGCTCGGACGAGAGTTGGGTCGCGGGCAGTACGGAGTTGTGTACTTGTGTGACAGCTGGGGAGGACGCTACCCGTGTGCTTTAAAGTCCGTGGTACCGCCTGATGATAAACACTGGAACGACCTGGCTTTGGAGTTTCACTACACAAGGTGAGTTAATAAGATTGAGTGTAAAACCGTCATACTTGTACAGACAGCTGCTCGGGCATGATCCCAGCAGCTTTTTTAGTCTTCACGTGAAACTGCCACAGGTACAAAACCCAACACTCATCACAGCTGGCAGTGCATTTTACTGACAGCCACAAGGTATGCATGGGAAATTTAAAGTGTGAGCAGCTTGATCAGCAGATTTTTAGACAGTTGCCTTGTTACTAAAACTCCACCCAGTATGTCAAGAAATAGTTTTGACTGTTAAAGCCTTGAGGGTTTTCATGGCATGTCAGCATTTTAAGGTGCCAGTGTCTTATCATTGTTATCACTATGGAAAACGACATCGTATCTCGTGCCTCGTCTTGTCTGTTATCTTACCCTTTTCATTTTCTGACAAGTCTTAACCTGCAGCCACCTTGTCTTTGCACCTGCATCCCGTCATGATGTGGGACTTTGTGAAACTTTGCTGAGGCTGCCTTAAAGTGGACAAACATACATTAATGTACTGTTACTTCAAACTGGATTATTTTATGATCATGAGACTGAAATATTGGAGTTTCCTCTCGTCTCCTTTGCATGTGTGTTGCTTCAGGACTCTGCCCAAGCATGAGCGACTCGTCGACCTGCACGGCTCTGTGATAGATCACACCTACGGAGGTGGCTCCAGCATCGCTGTGCTGCTCATCATGGAGCGACTGCACCGAGACCTCTATACGGGCCTGAAGGTGACTTGATAATGCACAGAGATGTGTTATTGTTTTATAGGTAAAGCACTGTAATCTTCCACCTCACGCACGCACTTCCAGTTAAGTTTTCCTTTCTTACTCCATCTCTTTCAGGCTGGTTTATCACTGAGGGAGAGACTTCAGATCGCTCTGGATGTGGTGGAGGGGATCCGCTTCCTGCACAGTCAGGGACTCTTGCATAGAGACATAAAGCTAAAAAATGTTCTGGTAAGTTGAGAGGAACTAATAGTTTACACTTTTTACTCACTAGACCTTTTTAACAGCAGACATGTCACAGCAGGAAGAACAAAGATGTAACTGTTAACATTAAAAAGACTGTCCTCCGTCTAGATAAGCTAGTTCCAGCTAGTTCTAGCTCCTCTCACTAGCATGGCTTACTGCAACACTTAACAAAGTTAGTTTCTACTGTGATTTTTCCGCTATGACAAGTCAAAATGTCTGCAGTGAAAAAGGGCATATTTTGACAACAAAGTCTGAAAGACTGAAACACAGAAGCTGAACCCATCAGAGTCAACCTCCAGAAATGGTCAAACTTTTTGAACAAGTAGCTGTAGACATTGTAGATATAAACGAGACATGACTGAACAACTATATTGTGTATTTATTTTTTATTTTATTTGCTATGTGGTCTAACAAGCATTGAACATTCATTTTCTAGTTGGACAAACAAAACCGTGCAAAGATCACCGACCTGGGCTTCTGTAAACCAGAGGCCATGATGTCTGGCAGCATTGTTGGAACCCCCATCCACATGGCTCCAGAGCTGTTTACAGGTACGATGACTGAGCAGTCACACAGTCAGTAGTTTCATCATAAAGCAGCTCCCTGATTTACAACTTAAAACTGTTCAATCAGTCAGAACTATCTGAACAAGCAGTTACTAGTGGCTGACGAAAGATTAAGTCATATTTTTTCAGGAAACCCATTACGTGACCTTTTTACGTACACAATGTTATCAGAAGATGAATTTGTCATTATATGTCGAACTGATGCCTAACTGTGCAAGAATGTTGTATATCAGCCTTTTTTAAGGTTTCCTCTCCATTGTGACTCTTCTCTTCGCAGGAAAGTATGATAACTCTGTGGACGTCTACGCCTTCGGGATCCTATTCTGGTACCTCTGCACTGGTTCAGTGAAACTCCCAGAAGCGTTTGAGAAGTGCTCCAGTAAGGACCAGCTCTGGAATAATGTTAAAAAAGGTACAAAAAAACGTATTTACGTATTATATATTGTTGCTGTTTAATTCTAGTTGGGTTTGTGTTCACACTGATTGTTTTACAAGAAGCGGTAAACATGGCGTTGTCAGACTAACTTGTAACTTATTGATTGGACAATTTTTGGTGAAGTCAGCCGGCATCATCAATGTTAAACGGATCCAAGTGGGGAAATTGTGGTCTGGTGACACTTTAATGCTTCTAACGTGTTTATTTGTAGATCCGTTAAGGAAATGATTGCTTATAAGATTTGCTTCCTTTGACATTTCATGCCCAGAGACGGATTTGATAGTAGTTTAGCTTTCATGTTAAAATCACATATCTACTATCAAAGTCCCCTTGGAAGCGCACAGAGACTCTGGGACTGGTTGATAGAAAACGTTTCCTCAGAAGACACGTCAGTCTTCAAACAGGAAGCCTTTATGTTCACTATCTGAGGAAACTCTGCTGTTTCTGTCTGTCTCACTTGTCGTCCACGTCGCCCCCAGGAGCCAGACCCGAGCGGTTGCCCAGTTTCGATGAGGAATGCTGGCAGCTGATGGAGGCCTGCTGGAACGGGGACCCTTCCCAGAGGCCCCTGCTCGGTATCGTGGAGCCCAGCCTGCAAAGCATCATGCGCCGACTCTGCAACTGCGGCTCAGAACAGAAAAGTAGCAGCCTCGAGGACTCAAACTGAAAACACTCCAGACAAACTAACACACGTGTGATAGGAATTCTGATCAGGAAAGTATTTTGTATTTATTAAGAATGGAGAAGAACAGGTGACCAATGAATAATGTCCTCCTTGTTCAGTTGTTGGATTTACGTTATTTATGAGGAGTTGATACAGACCAGAAGTTTGCAAATATGTGTGTTTTATTGTTTGTGCTTTGTCTGTGTATTTCTATACAAACTCTACAATATGCTTCCATCGTAGCTCCTGTGCTAATTGCTACTCGGTCGTAGGATTGTTACTAGATGCAAATTGTTTTAAAAGTAGTCCATTCCCAGTATTATGAAAAAAATATAAATATATAAAAGATTAATTTTAGATTGTATTTAAACTGAACATTTCTGCATCTATACAAATACATCTTTTTTTTAATAAAATGATCTGTTACAACACATTAATGTGTCATAATTGTTAGTTTATTACTGAGGATTTTAACATTATTCTTTAAATCTGTGGTTCAAATTGTTTTGCCTTGTGACTCATTTAAACAAGACCCTTTGTCTTTGTTTGACTAATTTCAGAAACTTTAAGGAATTACGTTTTTTCAGTAATTCATAATTCGCAAAATTTGAGAAAAGCCAGAAAAATAAGCAGTTAGTGTAACAGAATTATTCTTTTCTTTCTGCTTTTCTTTCCTGTAAATCTCTCGTGGTGCCTCAGATTTACATTGGAAATCACTGCTCTAAACATTACAAATGTTTGGAAATGGCAAGTTTCAAGTAATAAGTTTCAATTTTGAGGCGCCCGGATAGCTTAGCTTAGCTTAGCTTAGCTTAGAGCTCGCTCGCTCTCTCTCTCTCTCTCTCTCTCTCTCTCTCTCTCTCTCTTTTCTTTCTTACATTCATTCTTCAAGTAAGTGTAAGTGCAGTTTTATTACTCTAACATGTAGTGCTGAAACTAACTGGATTAAAAGGCAGTTATACAAAATAATTGGTAATTAAATATTTACACATTAACGGTTTATTAATTACTTAGGAAAAGAGAAGCATTAGTTCATAAATTAGTAATGAAAGTAATCATTATACACACTCTTCTAATGCAGTTGTGAGAGTGATGTTTAATTAAATGTTTACGTTTCAGAAGCAGCTGAGTTCAGCAGAAGGAATAAATAATTGTTTGTGATGAGCCAGTCACCACTTATTGATTTTTGAATGCCTTGTTTGTTAGCTTTTTGCTCAGAGTTAGATGAGAAGATCGATACCACTCCTATCTACGTACCTTAAATATGAAGCTACAGCCAGCAGCTGCTTAGCTTAGCTCAGCTTAGCTTAGCAGAAGGACCTGAAAAAGTGGAAACTGCTTTGTCCAACAGTAACAAAATCAGCCTTCCATCACCACTGGGCTTACTAATGCTGGTAGTTCTGTGTCAGACTCCCAGACTCCTGGCCAAGAAATAGTCGAGCACAAAACAGCAAATTGTAGTTTTTTAAACATCTGTTTTTGTACAGATTCAACAAATGAGATGGAGGTGCTGGTGGGTGGATTTTGTTAAGTTTGGACAGAGCCAGACTTGTGGTTTCCCCTGTTTCCAGACTTTATGCTAAGCTAACTAGCTGCTGGCTGTAGCTTCATATTGAATGTTACAATTGGCCAGAAAGTGTAGTCGAACTTTTGCTTTAACCACCAGCTGTGAAACAACAGATTCAAGTGAACATACTTTTTTGACATGAACAGGCTTTTATTTCTATAATAAAAGTCTGTAACCTGGTCCCTTTAATGTCCGATTATTCCACTTGTACAGTAGCAGGATGCACCTCAATATCGGCTGAAATGCAAAACACATCCAAAAAAACAGACAGTTTAAAAAAGTTATTTGACTTGGCAATGATAAAAACTTGAGGTAAGATGGAAATGGTAGAAAACAGTTTAATCAGTAAAAACAGGAGCGGCAGAGTAAAAGAGACAATTCTCCGCTGGGATACCAGAGTTGATATGATTGACCTGGTAGTGTTGATTCTTATGGCATGGAACTTATACATTAAATTCATATGGTTGGTAAAATGGCATCCACAAATATCACATCAATTTGACTGAAAGTAGTAACTAAGATAAAAGATATTTCCTCTCACAGAGTATCAAGAGCGATTCCTAAAAACAGGGAGGTTTACATATTTACTTACATTTAAAGATATGTCCTCGATTCATTTACAGGCCACTCTGTACAGTAAAAATGGATTACAGCTCAAATAGTATTACAGCACAATTTCGCATGTATTTCATTATTTTACAAACGACAAAAAGCTCCGTAGCTAACCTATAAAATACAGCTGTTTAGTCACTGAACTCCGAATGAATGCGTTCATCCTTCAGGTAAAATGATGAAAAACTGAGAGCGCTTTTAACGTCCATAAAAAATGTGGTCTCAGTGATTTACAAAAACAGAAAAAAAAAGATGTATCAAAAGTCCTTTGAGTCCTTTTTAGGTCTGCACATGCAGGTTTCGGGGCGAGGCTGTGAGTCTGTGCAGCTGTAAACAGCTGCTGCCTCTGGAAACATCCTTCATTAATGAGAAATAGCTTATTAGCTTATACAGAGCATCCATCACCAGGCAGATTCAGCCACTCGTTCTTCCTCGTTTCAAAGTTCAGAAATCCATGGAGAGCCTGTACGGCTGTGAACGACCAGCACTTGACTGTTTTTTTTTTTTTTTTTGTGCCTCTTGGACATTTCAGGCGTGTAAAGTAACTCATAAACCTGAGTCTGGACTCCTCAAACCTCAGACTGGCACAAACACTAACAGCTCCAACAGTAACAACGTAAGCAGGCAAACCAGGAAGACGTCACAAAGTAGTTATGCATGAAAAAAAAAAAGGGTTTCCCTGAAAGTTTGCAAGCCTACAACTAAAATGACCCACCCAAAAAAAACAACAAAAAAAACATTGTTTGTTCCACAGTCTTCAAAACATAATATATATCCTGGAACAAAAAAAAAGAATAAAAGAAGCGACTGCCAACAAATCTAGGCAGTTAATTTAAAAAAAAGTGCATTGCTTCAAGTATGTAAACAAAATGATTTCTTTAAAGGGAGAGTGAGACTCGTTCTGTCGGTGTGCGTGAGCCTGGGCCAGTGCAGTGACTCCTGAGGTTTGGCACACGTGTATGAACTCACATACACACATACAGTACAACACACACACACTCTTTTTCAGAGGGTAGTGATGACGAAAGGGAATTCCTTCTTTTTCCACTTTTTTTTCCTTTAAGGGGAAGTCCGGTGCTCCCTGTTTGTAGTCAGTGTTGAGGAAAGAGGCTCTATGACCTGCAAAGACACACCCCTCCGTCAGCGCGGTCACATGGTGGTGTTGCAGTGGCTGCTGGGAAAACAGGGTGGTGCATGGAGGAGGAGGAGGAGGAGGAGGAGGAGATGGTGGGTGGATTTAGGATGGATGGAGAGGAATGTGTTGATGATGAATGCAGCGCAACACGAGAAACAACACAAAAATAAAAAAATAAACATGAGGTGACAAAACACACATACACACACACACACACACACACACAGGTTGTGAGAGGTGACAGATGCTAAAATGATGCACCAATCTGAAGACAGTGATCCTGATTGTTTTAAATGAGGATCAGAGCTTCATGGGATAAAATTAAAGAATAAAAATCTATGATTTTTTGGGGAGAGAAGGAGCAAAGAAGTTTGATTAGTAAACTACAATTTATGTTTCAACTGTAAATAAGATCAGCTGTATTTCAAGAATTGAGAATTTAAAAGCGCCTTTAAGTAAATATACGTGCACATCTTCATGTCGTAACCAGACGTCTATTTTAGTGCCTCTTGTCCTCCTTTATACTCATCTGCAGTCGCTCACACAGTAGCTGAGCTTTAATCTCAGCATTTTATTCAAAGATTAGAACAGTTAAAGGAAACTCCACCATCCTCGTTCAGTGCCAAACAACACAACAGGGTGTTTAAAATAGTCTCTCTTCTAACTCTCTTTGCTTCTATCTGTTAAAATGTGATCATAGTACAGGGAATCAAAACCTTTTAAGTATTGAATGTTGGCATGAAATGTCAGATTATAACTCTTCTAACTTTCTTTAATCAGACTGTTTTACTTCTTGAACAGCTGCTTATATTTAGTCATAATATAATTGTTTTGTTTTTTTAAAATATATTTAAATTTCTTAAAGTAGTGTATCAAAAAAGTGTTGTTTGGCTATTAATACTGAAACTAGGGTATAGTATTTGCTCTAGTATCCAGAAATATCCAACAGTACCCGCTAACACACTGATATATTTCAGTTTATAGAAGCAATAAATCAGCTATAACCAAATATATTTACTGTAATAAACAGCCCTGAAACAATGATAAAAAACTGGAGCTGATTGTCCACAATGAAGTAAAGGATGGATGACTGTAGAAACATCTGTGTGTTACATGAGCAGAGAGTATAAATTAGAAAGATTAAAACAATTATTGTAATTAATCCTACACACTTTGTTCTTAGAAGAGTCTTTCTTGTTGCTTTATCACTACACGTTTGGGTCCAATTAAATCACAGCCTTATTAAACTCTAGAGGATCCCTCCACGCTGTCGTTGGGGGTAATAGCAGGATGTGTGCTGTCTTCATTTGGTTTAACTTTAACATTTAAGATAATTAGGTGGAAATGAGACAGACTACAAGCAATGAAAACAACAATCACTGAGGACGGTCGACACAAATCGTAGTTTGACGCAGACATTTGAACAAACACTGAATGACTTCAGTGACACACAGCGACACGACACTGGACACGCTCACAGGTAGAAAACACTTTACATGATAGTGTTTGATATTTATTTGTGTGGGTCTCAACTCACTCTGATCCTGATGAGTCACCGTCCACCGTCCCCGCCTTGATGCTCATGGCGACACCGTTCAGCTGATCTGGCAGGCTGGGTTTAGACGGACGGACTCGACTGTCACTAGACGAGGAGTCCTGCGGAGACGCCGTGCCGGGGGCGTTTTCACAGAGTTCATTGTGGATGCGGTTGAGACCGTTTCTCTCTACAATCGGAGAAAGCTGCTTCTTCTTCAGGATTCCTGTACCGGATAAAGACAAGATGTTTTTTTTTATGAAAATAAAAAAATCACAAATAATAATATTGCTGTTTCTCTTGTGTCATTATCTTGAAACAATAAATACAAGAAGCAGAATCACTCAGACCAGGTGAAACTTCACCTCATGGCAATGGAATTGTTAATTAATTATTAATATTCATTTGTTGACAATATTTAATTAAACTCCTGCGGGTTTGTGTGGGGCTCAACTTTACCTTTGTGAGGGTGGCTGTTGAGGTTTGGCAGACTGGGCAACAGCACCGTCATGGCGTCCTGCGTCCTGCCGTCTAAGAACGTCCGGCCATCGCGGCCAAGACTCAGTTCTGGATTGGTGTCCGGCT